ACCTCTGCCTGAGTTTGACTAACAGGGGTTGGACGTAGGCGTGGGCGGACAGCCTCTGTGCCGGACGTGTCCGCGGAATTGGACGCCCTGGCGAATGATCGTCGGTAGTAGAAGGCACCTCTACCTGCTCCAAAACCGAGTATCGGCCGGAAGAAATTTTCGATCGCGACGGCGCCTTCGGTGCCTGAGCCCACGAATTCTGTGACCCGCGCAGGGGTTGAGTTATCCAAGGTTGTTCATCGACTTTTGAATGAGCCGGCCCTGAACCCGACGCAGCCCGACTTACAGGTGTATAAACCGGACTGGACCGATCTGAGTCCCTGCTTACCGACTCCACCGGGCCTGGGGCCTGAGCGGAAGGGATCGCAGGGGGCGTCACGGCTGCACTGGCAGCGACCTCCGCAGATTTCTGGACCGTCAATCTGTCTGCTGCCATACGACGCATCTCGGCCACTATACTAAATAGCTTTGCCAAATCCGCAAGGGTACTGAGGTCTCTCTCGTGGACCTCGATTTCCCCGGGCCCTTTAAGTTGGATATCGGTGTACCCGAACCTGGCCGCTGTGTGGCCGAGTTCTCCACATTGGAGACATTGATGACGGCGCCCGACATCCGGATGCTGCAGGATAATGGGTGTCCCAAACCATAGGATTCGCACTATTCCTTTAAGGAACGTGGGACAGCCGAATATTTAAAAAGTGACCCTCCAAGATGCCGACGTACGCGACATGGGACTATACGTGTCTAGGTCCTCAAACTCGAAAGCCGTCGAAATCTTGGACTTTAAGTATGCTGCCAATCGTCCAATCTCATTAAATCGGGTGAGATTATGCAGAACGATAGTGTACTCATCGCGCTGGTGCCATGTATGTCCGGTGGGGCCTTGCTGGCGTCCCCAAACGGACCCTCGTTCTGGGCGGTGGGCGTTCGACAAGGTGTATACTCTGCCGCGATACGGTATGCGCACATGCTTGAGACGTTCAGCTGTCACCCGGGAAATGAAGAAGAAGTGTGGAGACTTAGTTGCACGGTCATAATTAATAGTCTTTGTCAGACTAAAAAATTGATGGAGCTCTGGCAGGCTGACTTGCGCCAGTTCCGCTGATTCGAGAATGGTCTCCGTGATGGAGCGTGTCGTCTGCCTGCTAATCGGTATCCCCCGGTCTGGACCCAGTGATAACGCTAGGTGACCTTCCACTTGAGCCTGTACTGTGCTATAGAGTCGCAAGCGGTCCTAACTGTCCAGAACCGCTTTGAAAAAAAGCGGCATGCACCGGCACACGATGTGGCCTTCAGCGATCCCCGTAATTATTCGCCACTCGTCAGTAGTTCCTTCTCGCAGAGACAATTTGTGTCCGATGAAGGAACGATCCTCACAAATGGCCTTGAGGCGCTCAGACTCCTCATAAGTGAATTTGGAAGGATTAAACATAAAGTCCTCGTACTTCAAGCTGGAAGGGGAAGCCCTACTGCCCGTCGAGGTCGATGTCCCCTAACGCACAACTTGCGCCCACTGGTTCTGTTGGAAGTGGAGATGTCATAGCGGACACTCCTTTCCGGGTCGACACCCCAGCTGCCAGGTTTGGTAGCTATAGTGGATGATTGGTGTGGTTACACTAAGTTCTAGAAGGTTCTTAGTCGTAGAGCGCAGGATAGAGCAAGATCTCACTTCTAGATTGATTAAGCCACTGACGAGGCCCCCGGCGGGGGGCCGAAACGCGTTTGGCGCGCGTTTTAACATAGAAGTCATTAACCATACTTTCTCCTATTTCCTACAGGTTCAACACAGGAGCCTTCGCTTACTTGTGTTGGCTAGCCAACCGTCGGACAATAGCAGTAAAATACCATTTCGTTAAGACGAGGTCTTTTCAAAGGGCGGAAGCTAGTTTTTTCCAGTCGTGGAAGGTACCAGCAGACGCGACAAACGCTTGTTCAAACAGCCGTAAGAGGCTTGACGCCTCGGAGGCTCGCAAGCGTGGATAACGTGCTCTAGAGGCTGGGAGCTCCGTCGCATTGATCGGGAGCTTATCAAATTCCACGGCGAACAGATCCTTTATAGTCAACAGCCACACATCAATTTGGATCGACCCCGGGTGACTTTTCATCTCCGTTACCAAAGCATGGAACATGGAGGCTGCCGAGGGGGCCGCCGCAGAGGCCGGAGGAGGTCCTGCTGCGGACTTGTCTCCTCCTGGTGCATCGACGGGCGGACGCCTTGTCGCTGACTGATCTCCGTCTGGTGTATCCACGACCGCTGCCGCGGTGTCTCCCATGGTAGTGTCTCCACGAGCATTTCCGCCTCCATTACCAAGAGCCGAAGTGACACAGGCCGGCGGCGTGGTCGACGCGAGTACTTCCTGGGGGGCTGTGGGCTGACCGCCCGGTCCCGCCTTCGCAGTCCCCGCTGGCTGAGAAGCGGCGGAGATGGCGTTGCGACCAAGCGCCGCCGTCATGTCTTCGTGTGACAGGGGTTCCTGACGCCGGGGAGACCCCGGAGGCCTCCCAGCACTCCCCTTCTCGAGGGGAAGATTTTAAGGATCCGTGCTAGTCGTCGTGCGACAAAGGACTTAGCTGTCACCAGCTCTCGCTGTTCTTACCTCTCAAATTGATTCCTGCCGTGACAAGAGGCAAATCGAAGAGTGTTAGACCTCGACAATAGGTATGGTGTTCGAATATCATTTTCAATGGGACTCCGTCCCTTGTGTACCACACATGTTATGTAATCTGTTACACCCATACCTGTTGTGTAACCTTATTACAGCAACCGAAGTGCCTTTTTAACGCTTCCGTCGCACCGCACATAATCTTTACGTATTTTGCACGTTTCAACACCAACCGATGTACTAATCAGTCAACAATTACTAGCATGCCGCGCCCTAACATATGGATACGGCACTTGCAGGTGAGGTTGTGAGGGCTATTGCTGCACTTGCAGTGTCATCAACTTCAATGTGATTTCACAGCCGAAAGGCTTTTGAAAAAGACCACCACTGCGGTCGGCCATCACATCACTATAGCCTAGGTTCCATTTTCGAACTAATCTTCATCGATATGCTGTATGGAGAACTAACATGCCATGCACAAAAATTGAGACTGCACGTTCAGAGGTCTCGAGGAGATGGTCCTAAAAGCCCTTGCATCCGTATTTCTCACAACCATCTGCCGCCATGCATGAAACTGATTTCGGCACATGGACGTATATCCCAAGATCCGACCAGGAAGAACTTCGAATACGCCGTGAAGATGTATAGGTCGCACCGTAAAGTTCCAAATTCAATCTTAGCGAATGTGAACGTTTTAGCTGCTGCCAATTTTGTACTTTGCAATGATTGTGGCAAAATGTGGTGGGATTTGATCGAATTGGATAATTGCCTGCGTCCTTTTGTAGTATATATAGGACATAAATAGGCAAAACAATACCTTATAGGTTGACAAAAGCCATATTTGTCATTTTAAGACTGCAAAAATGGTACTTTTACGCTGATTTGTCTCCTATATGTAGAGCTGCATAAAAACATTTACAAAATCGAGATAAAAGTGTACGCAGAGATTTTTGGGGCGGCTAAATTTGGCTCGCCGCGAGCCGTTGTTGATAAATTTCTCCGAGCTTGAGGGTCCTATAACTTCGCGGAAAATTTGTCAAGTTTAAATCCCAGACTATCGAATCGAAGCTAGAAGCGTGCTCAAGCCACCTATAGTCTTAGGTTTGTGTTTTGAAAAGTATGGGGTGAGGAGTAGCTGATTGACCGAGATCGGAAAATGTTTACAGGTTACAAATGGTGCAAACTATCGGAGAGTAAAAAAACGCGAAACGTGTTTTAATGCGGCCGAAGAGCCCAAACAATTGTCGTTCGTATGACCTGCGTAAATTGAGCGGTACACGCACCCAGAGCGTGTTTGCACCACCGACGAGGACCACCGACACAAATATCGTTACGGAAAGTGTCGAATGTAATCAGACTACTACTCCAAAAGATATGAGCGAAACACAATGCAAACCCAAAAATTTCTAGCACCAACAATGCGAACACCATACTGTAGCTTATGCGGACAGTAAAGAGACTCGTGCTTCATGAGTTCGTCGTCTTTACCTCCTGCGTGGCGATGGCGATATTTTTTGGTAAAACTTACAGCAGTAAGGACAATTGTGAGTACAAGCACGCAACAGACCAACGAACAACTTGAAATGCGAAGCGCTACTCAGACGCGCCAGCCGATACAGTGGCCAGCCATTCTCAAATCTGCTGAGCGATCTTAATCAAGTGGGGTCGAAACGGATTTTTTTGGTCTGACTTGTCCGAGTAGCAGCAGGACAACGATCACCATAGCAGCACAACGAATGTAGCGATGGCCACGCATAGTAAACGAGCGTTGGTTGGCCACACCAGGTGTCCTTAAGCAAACCCGCTGCTGTTCAAGATGCAAGCAGGTGGACTTCGCGCCAATTTCTTCTCACACCGTCGCAATCTTTCGGCGTGAATCGAGATCATATGCCTTTGACAGCATTGCCGTCTGTGGAGACCATTCGCCTTTGCTTGGCATACCGATCGACTGGCCGTCCGCAACGAGCTCGAGTCCACTTTCTGCATCAATATCGCAAGGAAGGCCAATGTCGACTCCAAGCGTGCAATTCCTCCTAAACTCATGTTGAGCGGTTGAGCGGTCGAGCAGGAAAATGGTTGGCTGATACGCAAACACTTGACCGGTTTAGCGAGTCCTGCTTGGCCATCTGAACCTCTTCCGTGTAGCCTGCGCTTGCCACTTACAATTAAGTGGCAGTGTATCTCTGTCTCTTTATCTCTTTATGTGTGTCGTTAGTCCTGTATTTCGAAAGTACTGATTTCTACGCATCTTTTCCTCCTCACACAGTCCTTCACGCTACGCCACCCCCCAAACCATTTCGTTACACCTTTTCCCCCATCTGCTGCATCAGGGTTACAATGGCTGCAGTCAAACCAGGCGCGACTTTATGCAGTCGAAGCATCAGCTCCATGCGCTGCATGCAAACGGCTCTAGTCGCCCTCATGCTCTTTGCTTTGGCTTTCGCGTACCATTTTGTATCAAAAATACCCCCTTTGCGATCAGCTCAAGACTTTGGAGACAAATCGAGCAGCGAAGTGGTGCACAGCCGATTGCTAGAGCACTCGGTAGTGCAGCTGCTGGGCTTTGACGATGGCTACAAGTTCGTCAGTGAATACAATGTCGACGAACAGGGACCCCTGTACATTTTGGTGATGAGCGGTGTGAGCGAGAGTGGCAAGTACTGGTGTCCAGACTGTGAGGATGCCAAGAAGCCCGTAATGGACGCCTTTGGCCGCTCCCCACGAGGGTCAAGACTCGTGGAGATTCGCGTGGGCCCACCTGCCTATTGGAAAGACTCGATGAACGACTTTCGACAGAATGAGCTCTTCTATTTGGACTACATCCCGACGCTTATGCGGTACGAAGGAGGTGGCAACACGTCCGCGATGCTCACCGAGTCCTTCTGCACGGACACAGCGTTGCTGGACTATACGTTTCGGGTGGACCAACCACTGGCAGGCGAGCCAAACAAGAACAAGGTGCTTACCATGTCTTCGCCTGGAGACTTGACAGACTACCTGGAAACGTACGACAACAGTTACCCGCTCTTCCTGTACTTTGTCTCGGGCTACCACGAGTTCAATGGACGTCTATGGTGCCCGTACTGCGACCAGGCAGACGTGGCTATCATGCATTATTATAACTACACCGCACCAGACAACGCCGTCCTAGTACGGATAATCGTGGCTGGTACGCATAAGGAGTGGAAGCAGGACACGAACCCGTATAAGCTGCCTGAGTTTCAGGAAAAGGTGGCGCCGTTGCGTGGAGTGCCGTTCCTGGGATTCGTGTCGAAGGACGTCCCTGCCAACGAGATCCGCGTGGACAAGTTCACATCGACCTACAAGGAAACTGACAAGTTGAAGGCGTTTTTCACAAACAAACCTCAAACGACACGGCCCAGTGTAGAAAAGTAAACGGATCGCTGATCGCTGTACGTCATACGCATAACGAAGACGTTCAGGTGTCAATGCGTCAAGCAGCAGAGATCGAAACTGTCTCGAGGCGATGTTAAAGCTTTATATCGAGCGCAGTGCGCGGCCAATGGCGGTAGCGCCCCACACATGTGGGTGATGTATCGAGTCTTGATGCCTTGGCGGTATGAGAGCAGCAAGAAGTGCGCAAGAACACGATCTGGCAACAAGAGTTGGCAACATCGCTACGGAGGCAATTGTGTAGGCACAAGTAATGTCATGTGGGGCTGTAGTGTAAGCATAGACATCGTTTGGAGGTCTGCATGTGCAGGAAGAAGCAAATTTGAAGAGGCGGGAGTGGATCGAAGAGCGCAGTAGGATTAAAGGTGCAAAAGAAGAGGAGTAGAAGAAAAAACTCTGATAGCTCGATAGAAGCGCCCGGTGTACCGAACGAATGTTGAACGAGTCGACATGAAGTAGTTAGTTGAGTGTAGACGAGAGACTGAGAAACAAAGGACAGCAGCGCCAGGTGAACAAAGCGAATTATGCGTAAAAGGCTGCGGTCCAATCCGCATGAATCGACATGAGGAAGCACTGATCGAGACTGCCGCCGATACACACGAAAGGCCCTTTCCATCCATCCGTAAAGCACGACGAGACCATTGTGACAAGTGAGACAAGATACAACAACCGGTTAGAGCCGCGACACTCGAGTGGATCGGTCATGTCCGACAGTGTACGTAGCCTGAAGCGTATACAAAGCCGTCCAACTGACGCGTCGAAACCGTATACCAGTCGTTTGTAAAGCGACCGAAGCGCGTTTCGGCCGACGCCCACTCCCGAATGCGTCGAGGACGAGAGCGCACTGCCAATCGTTGGGGCCGCCACCGGCGCTGGATACTGGCGGCACTGGGCGCCTGTGCACTCGGCTTCATGCTCGTGACCCAATTGCGTCTGTGGTCAGCTGCGAACTTTGTGGACCTGCGCACGAGCGCCATTAGCACAGATAGGGGGGACCCTACAACGATCGACCGCTTGACGAGGTCGAAAATCGATATACCGACTGAAGCAGTGGACGTCGTGAAGGAGTCGTCAGCTTTGCGCCTGTTTGGCCCCTCGTCGTCTGAGGCCGTCGCGGCATTGACGCGAAACCCACCGGTTGTTCTGCCGACTGTCGTCGCTCCGGTTGAACCGGTAAGAGCTATTGCAGCAACACGTACCACAACGCGAACGGCGCCTTTGCTCAACGATCGTCACGATGTGGTTTCTGGCTACGGCGCGGCTATGGCGTACTTGGCCAACTACACGACGCCGGAAGGGTCGAACGAGCAGCTTTTCCTGTTCTTCGTCTGCGGTGATGAAGAGGGGCGACAGACGGACTGGCGCCGCGTCTGTGTGGACGCATCAAAGCTGGTGTACGACGTGTTTGCCGCGTCGCCGTCGCACAACCGGTTAGTAACGATTCACGCTGGCTCGAAGCAAAGCTGGTCGACGCCGAACGCGTTCTTCAAAGACAGTGACTTGAAGGTGAAGATGGTGCCTGCTATCATGCAGTGGCATGGAGGAAGTCCCGGGGCCAAGCGGGCCACGTCTGGCGTGATCATTGACGAAGGCTTGCTATACGAGCCGCTCCTGCGCTACCTCTTTAAGAACGAAGACGATCCAGACTCACTTGTCGCGCCGGACAAGATCGCTACAAAGACGATTGTCCTGCTCAAAGGCTACAAGCGCTACAGGTCGTACATGGACACGATTGCCGCTGGCGGGAATGCATCGCTGACCGCCCCGACAGGACCGCTGTTCCTCTTCTTCGTGGCTGGCCGACTGCAATCCAACGATCGTCCCTGGTGTCCGTACTGCCGGTATTCGGAGATCTCCGTCGAGTACGCGTTCTACGCGTTTGCACCGAACCAGTCGCGGCTTGTTAGGGTGGAGACAGTGGATTCGTATGGTGCGTGGAAAAGCTCTACGAACGAGTGGAAGCAGGACACGGGGCTGATGCTTCGAGGCGTCCCGTGGATGTATCGGGCGTCGTTGGACTCTACAGCCCACGCATTCACCTACGAGCGCATCGTCGATCACTTCGATCGTCCGGACGACTTGCGCGGCGTCTTCCAGGGCTGGAAGGACAACCCCATGTTGGCGTAATCCTGATACTAAACCGTTGCCTTACTTCCATTTCCCCAGACAACCAGCGACTATGGTCAACCGTCACGGCCAAGCGGGACTTGCCGGTTGACCATAGTCCCGATTGGCCTTTTCCTGCACTTTGAGGAACGCGACACCCCATCGCACACACGGACTTTGTATGGCAAATTCCCCGCACTTCCCGTCACGATCCCAATGCCAATCGCATTGAGCCATTGACTGAGGAGCGACTGACTTGTCACCGCACCTCGAAACATGGCGTCCCCTCGATACGACCCGCGCACTCAACGGCGGCGCCCGATCCGCCGCGGCATCAAGCGCATGTCTCTATGCTATGTGCTCGCTGGTACCTTTTTGCTGGCGTACGTGGTCTTCCTTGCGCGTTGGGGCTTTGGAACGCTGTCCAGTCTCGAAGACTTTGTGTCCACGGAGCCGCTCAGTAGTAACCTGCGCCCGACCAGGAACGCAGTGTACAGTCAGAGCGAAAATGAGACGCTGGATTCGGTCATTGCCGCGGTGCAACCCGACGAACCGCAGGGGGTCGAAAAGCACGTGCACCAAGTGGACGTTATTGACATTGGGCTTTCACGACCAGCGCCTTTGACTGCTGCTTTCGCAGCTACTGATGCGCGAAGTACTGCAGTGACAGAGATACCTGATGTACAAGAGCATAAGGTCGTTGTCGAGGAGATGAGCGAAAGTATGCAGACGATGGAAGAGATGGCCGATGCGCACGAAGCGGTACAAGCACCTGAGGTGGTGGCTGCGGAAGTGGTCGCTACTGAACGAGTGGCTGCTACAACGACACCAAAGCACGATAGGTTGACATTCACATTGGCTCCATCAGCTCCGAAATATGCGACGGTCCATGGGTATAAACCCACAAAGAAGTTCTTGAAGAGCTACCGGCACGACCCGAACGAGTCCTTGTTCCTCTTTTTTACATGTAGCGACAAGCACTTTCAAGCCAATGACTGGTCGGACGCATGTGTTCAGGGCAAACAGCACGTGTACGACGTGTTTGCAAAGTCGCCAGGACGTAATCGACTGGTGACGGTTTACGCAGGCTCGGAGAAATACTGGAAACACCACAACGAGTTTAACGATGACCCAGACTTGCGAGTCAAGGGCGTGCCTTGCATCATGAGGTGGGACGGACGCAACGGAAGTACAGGCGGAATGCTCGTGCACGAATCGCTCTATGACGAGCCGTTTCTCCGGTATTTGTTCAAGAACACGGACCAGCCCGAGATACTCTTTGCTCCCCAAGACGTCAAGAACAAGCAAATCGTTACGGTGAAAGGCTATCGTGGCTACTTGGATGCCATGTCCAAGTATGTGCATGAGCAAGACCCGGTGCCTACATTCCTCATGATGGTCTCAGGCCGACTTCGGCACAACAATCGACCATGGTGTCCGTACTGCCGGTACTCTGAGTTACCTCTCGAGTTCGCCTTTTACTCGTATGCTCCGAAGAATGCGCGCATGATTCGCGTGGAAGTCACGGACTCGTACGCCGAGTGGAAAAAGCACAACAAATTCGGCCGTGACAAAAACGTGCAGCTCCGGATCGTGCCGCTGCTGTTTCACGTCAAGCCCGTTCCTGCTTCCAGCGCGAACGGCACCAAGTCATTCAAGGCCACCTCGCACAGAGTTCGCTACGATCGACTCGCTTCGTTGCGTGAGCTGTTTAGCAGTTTTGCATAAGTTGGGTTGGGTAGCTTTGTACAAATGCAGCAAGGTGACGTTTCAATCACGCTGTCGCGCGTGTGTGCACTGGAAACGCGCTCAAGCGAATGGAGGATGTCTTCTGTCTCCTCCAGCGCACAACAACTAGTGTCAAGCATCCTCCTCAGCTCGTCGGAGAACTCCTCTTCGCTCGTTGAATTGGCATCAATTGATGCTCTTTTCCTCTTGTCGCTGCCGCAACGGAAGACTGTGTCGAGTCATCACTGGCATGTCGTCAACAACTCCACGTTCTCCAAGGAAGCCCAAGTACCGCGTAAAGCTCAACCCCCAAAACTCTTCCGTCATTTGCAAGGCCACGCTGACTTCGCATGTAGTGTTTTCTGGCATCACGCGATTGTGCTGGCGAAGACTTCGAATTGTACGTAAGCAGATAGCCACAAACTCTTGAAAGCGCGATTTTCGCTCTTGGATACACGTCTCCTCCAGTGCACCTTCAGACGAGCTGCAACAGAGATGTGGGCCCCAGACATGCCGCGAGGGGAAAATGGTGGCCACAATTGAAGCCAAGACGTTCTCGCAGATTGCACACCGTGGCGCAGATCGTCGATTGTTCCGGCTAAAGTGCTTGATGAGCTGCTGTCGAAGTGCACGAAACTCGGAGAACCGACGCATGACGCGCCAGTGTTGCTTGCTCAAGTGTGTTTCGAGCTCGTAGAAGATCACGCCATCTCCAGGGCGTTCAAAGTGCTGCCCTGTCACGAAGGCCGACAAATAGTCCGAGTACTCGGCTTCGTCACGAAACAGGTGCAAGCCCTTGTTCCGCACGCCCAAAAGTCCAGAGCCCAACCGTGAAGTTGTGGCAAGCTGTCGAGGACAGGACAGTTGAGTCTGTGTGGCGAGTAGCGGAGACCGTGACGCTGTCGATAGAACAGCACCGACGGTATTGCGTCGTCCGGTATCGGTCCTGCCTTCCACCGGGCGGCCACCACTTCGATCCCTTGACAACAACATGCTGCATGCCGACAAGCTACAGCGCCACAGCATATTAGGGATCTTCTGTGCTCGTCTGGATACGATCGACCTCCTTCCCGTCTGGCGAGTCCTTGAAGTTGACAGTCCGAACTGGTCAGTATAGAAGAGCGACTGCTTCATCATCGCCTCGTCCTGCGACGGGCACGTTGACGCAGTCGAGCAGGCGAGGGATCTCGACGTGCAACACGCTGTAGCCCTCTGATCGCTCATACCTGAGGATTTTGGTTGCAGGAATACCAGCGACCAACGGACGGAGTAGCGGTCTGTCTGTCTGACTGACTCACTCACTCACTAGCTGAGGGTCGCGGAGCAAGCGTTTGGGTTCACGTTAAATGAAAAGTGCTAGAGGGGAGACGGCTGAGTGAGCCCTCGAGAGAGGACGAGCCCTTGTCGTACCGGCACGACGCTGGACTTTCGAGCTCGACTGCCCTCTTTTGCAAGAGCTGTGGCGATCGCTGACCTTCGGAGCTCGTGGACGTTTTTTTGGCGCTCGATATGCAAAGAAGAAGAGCTCTTGTGGCTCTTGTGCTGCATCGTCCCATTGCAACAGAGAGGAACTACCGATCGATACACAACGTGCTGAGGCCACGTCGTTCGACATGTACACAAATGCGAGGAAGTTGCATGGATGTAACTAGTGGGAAGTCTCGACGGCACGTGCAACAACAACTCGCGTGGAATCGCTGCCTAAACATGCAGAACAAACTGAACCACAACTAGTTGCGACTGAAAATCCACCACGAAACGCTCGCAAAATCGGCTGTCGCTTAGTTTCCACACCCGAAAGTGATGACAGCGCCTCGAGTTTCCCAACAGCTTAAGTGGCTTTTGCTCTCTGGTCGTCGCCACTGGAGGCGCTTTTTTTCTAAACTTCTGCGCAGAGCGACACCGACTGTCCGAACCGACCGCCTCTGCGATACCGTACCGAGTACCGGTTCGTCACCCACCGTGCGACCGACCCCAGTTACCAGCTGCTGGTCCTGCTGCACAACCCCCCGAGATTATATCCGCAATGAGAGCAAAACCAGACCATTCGTGCAGTGTCGTCTCCTAAAACAGTACTTGCCGGACAAATGTAGCCATCCGTCACGTGGCGACCACGGTCTCTCCTAGCGAACAACACTAGACAGGAGATGCAGCTGCTGCTGCTGCATGCGCCACGTCCGCTCCTGCCCAAGCGCGCACCGCTCCAGCACCCGAGTGGCAATCGATGGCGCTGTCCGATCTCTCCGCTCTCTTCTTCGTCGCAGCACTGGCGACACACCGTGGCAGAGTTCCAGCGCCTGGCCAGTGACCCCCGCGCGTCTTTGTGCGCGAGTGCCGTCGCACGCGTTGTCCGCGTGTGTACAGCCAATGACCGCTCGCGAGAAGCAGTGGCTGTGGTCCGCCAAGCCGAACAGCGCGGGGTCGTGGCTCCGTTCCAGTCGTACATGCACATTTGCTGTGCGTGGGCTCGAAAACGTCAGCCCGAACGCGCGTTGGCCATGATGCCCGAGCTGCGCGACCGCTTTCTTCATTGCGAGTCTTCGTACAGGGCCCAAGCGACAGCATCGATGCGCGCCAGTGTCTATGACCCACTGCTCTCGGTGTTCAAGGGGCAGGGCGATTGGCGCAGCACGCACGAGGCGATCGCTCAGATGCACCAGTTGGGCCTCACGCCAACGATACGTGCGTTTCGAGTGCTCATGTTGACGTTGGCCAAAGCACAGCAGACAGATCGAGTGCTGACGACGGTGGCCTTCGTCGAAAAGAAGTTCCCGGACCTTTGGACAGACGTGACCACGCTCACATCTATGTGTCAAGCCCTCGTGCAAGTTGACGAACACCAGCGCGTTCTCTGCATTTACGATAAACTTGACGACAAGTGGGTTCGTGAGAAGGCTAGCATCATGCTGTGGAACCAGTTTCTACTCGCCGCTGTTCGCAAGGAAGCCATCGAGGGAGACCAGTGCATGACGTCGACGAGTTTGCCTGTCGCGAGGAAGATTTTCGACAGCATACATGAGGCTCATGTTGCCGCCCCCGACGACTTCACATTTGCGACGTACATGATGGGGCTGGAAAATCATGGCGAATGGCAACGTATGCTTGATTTGTTCAGCACGATGGTATCGACCCAAACGCGTGATCAGAGCGAAGAATCGAGTAATCGAAAAGCGCCAGTGATCAATGCTCTTTCTTGTGCTGCTGTGCTCCGAGCACTTTACAAGATGCGTGAAGTCGCTGTTTCTGACTTAAAGAAAAAGGGAGAGCCACATGCTGCTACGAAGGTGAAGACGTTGTTGCGAGATGCACAGCACCGAATGGACCAGGACTTGGCTGCCGTGCTACAGCAGGTTCGCACAGTAGATCTTCGAAACATAGGGCATGCTTCGACATTGATTGATACCTTGGATGAATTCAAGCTGTTCTCTGCAGCACGTGACACATTTAATCGCGTGCTCGATGAAGGTGTTATTCAGAAGACGCCGTGGAGACTGAAAGACGGCTTTGAGATCGACTTGCACACGTTCTCTCGCGGCGTAGCAAAGTGCGCTGTCGTGTCTGCGTTCGATGAGATTACGCGTTCTCAGCAAAGTGTAGACGATGCTTCTCTTGGTTGGAATGCACCGATCCAGGACCTTCGCATCATCATTGGAATCGGGAAGCGCAGTCGGACGTTCATGAAGCCTGTCCTCAGGCAAGAAATTACCAATTTACTTACAAAATGCAGCCGGCCGCCACTTTGGCCTTCGACACACCCGACGAACCCTGGCGTTTTGATCGTGCGCCATAACGCTTTGCGCAAATGGCTTTCGAAAGGCGGCGCTATCCGATACTTCTGATAGACTGAGTGCTATGGAAGGGGAATATGAAGTGCAGTTTTTGACGACGAGCTCGTCAAGTATATGCCGTTCTTCCGGGTACTTTGATTCAGCCGTCACTACAGGTGTCTAGCGGCTTTCGTGACAGCGAGCTAGTACATGGCAGTGGTAGGTAATCTGATGTGGTCGGTACGTCTGCAGCTGCTCTCGAGTTTCGATGTCAAAGAGGCCATCGAGTGCATTCTGAATGATAGCAGTCAAACTCGTGGGTCGATCGATGGATTTCATGTTTTCTCTTACAACATGTTGTCCCTCACTGCAAGGCACGTTCCATCACTTGCCAACGAGATTGACGCGGCTGTTGGGGAGCACTAGGAGTAGATGTACCGCACTTTCCAAAAAGTTGAGCCCCAGAAACGCAAATGTCCACGACAACCTTCTCCTGTGCTAAAGATGCAGACTTTATCGTCGCAAAGCTTGATGTATATCTAGCGAGTGTCGACGCCGATGTCGATCCGGTAGGAATGTTGGCGACCCAGGTGAGCTCTTCCTCGAACCGATCGATACATTAAGCAATCAACACTGAAGTTCGAATGGAAGAGAAGCTGTCCGCCAGCAGGGCGCAATGCCACGAAACTGTACTCCATAACTTGCTAGCAATTGGGTGCGACATCACGCTGTTGCCGTCATGTGCATGGCTTATGAGTCTGTGTCGGTTGCTCATTGATAGCAAGTTTTCAGCTTTAGATGGCAACTTGCCAGTTCTGTTCGAGACGCATAAACTGTCACCTGCTTGGCAAAGCTAGTGCAGCAGCGTCGACTGGAAGAAAGTGGACCAACAACCGTTATCTATGATCGAAAACGTCGAGTCGGCGCAATGTACTGCGGCTTTTGGACATTTTGATGAACCAGAGACGGAAAGGGTGTACTCTGACACTTGCTGGGCGTCCCCAACAACTTTGCGCAGAGCGATTATATTTGACGTCCATTCGTGTGACTTTGAAGTGTGCGCTCTGTTGCGAACACAAGCCACCGGTTCATCGGCAATATCATACATGGCACGGTTGTTTCTTATACATTTCACCAAATAGACCCTAATGCACGATTCGACAAAGCTAATATTACGTGTCCCTTACGAAGTTGTTGCCGCTGTACTGACACGAGTCCTGCGGGTCCGACATCTTTCGCATTTTGTTCCTGATTGTAAAGAAATACGCCTTGTGCGTTATTTCATTGACGTCCAAGATTGACGAGCTGTCGTCAACGGCAAGAGCCAGCTTTTCTGAGGCCTCGATGAACGTCATGGCATCCAGTTTCTTGTAGCTCAGACCGGTCATCTCCTGAAACTTGCGGATACGGAAGTCGCGTGGCATCTTGCCGACCATAATCCCTTCCGGAGCCTTCACCAACTTAGTGTCCACAACATCGGCATTGACCTCAGAGTCTGAAGTCATACTACGACGATTCCAATTCGCCGATCCGATGGACAAGTACACGTCATCGATGATCACAAGTTTCGTGTGGATCGCAAGTTTTCGCGCCTTCTTGGTAGTGTAGATCGCAAACTTGTTCGGATATTTTGATCGGATGGGTTTCACGCTTTCGTACAGGTACTTGGAGTACCCTGCATATCCCATGAAACTGACTTGCGGGCTCGTGACCACGACCAGACGCTGAATCGTTGGCATCACTTCCAAAAGCGCATTGAGAAGCTCTGGCACCAGGATAAAGTACTGGTCTTCAATGTAGATAAAGTTCTTGGCGTTCTTGATGGCTTTGATTCGGGCTTGGAACAGCGATGTTTCGCCCCTCGGAGCAAAGTCGTAATGCTTGTACAAGCAGCTATATGTCCGTGTGATCTGAACGCTATGGCTGCCAAGAGAGCCCGTGGTGTTGCTGCTGACGTAGTCGAGCGGGAGGATGGGCTCGTATTTGGGGTTCCTGAAATCCCGAAGGCGGTCGTCAATGTGCTGACACGGTAGAAAGTCCGAGTTCCACCGTGCCACAAAGTTGCTGGCCACGTCTTTAGCGGCAGGGCCATGAATTCGAAGGTGTCCGTCTACCCAGCCCTCACTGAGATGGTTGAGCCCAGCAGCTTTTCGGAGAGCAGAGTTGTTGTGGTGGATCGTATCCCATCGGTCTCTTGTAAATTCCACTCCACCCACATAAGCCACTGGCTGCTCGTCCGGATCCACCGAGCTATTTGCTGCGATGACCATGGTCTTCTGGTGGTGGGAGGTCAAAGCTCTGGGATAGCGGTCGTCAAAGATGAGCACGGCTTTCGCACCGTTGATTGGGGAAGGCGGAATGCTGTTGATGGCATCGCGCGCCTTGACGTTCAACTTTCTGTAATTCGTGGAGATAGTGGCCCAATTGAGAATGTCGACACTTCCGCCTCGCTTGACTACTCCAGCAAACACTTCCTTGATGCCAGTTGTCGTTCCCTTGGGATCAATGTCAGGTTTCAGTGGCACAAGAGCCAGAGACCAGGCAGCAAGTAACACGCGGTCGCCCACTTTCGTTGCACTGAGCTCGTCATAGACTGCGTTGAAGAACTCGTTGGACACCGTGTAGGATGTCACCTTGTTGCCTGTCGTGAACACCGCCATGTCGTCTCGAGGGATACCGCCGCGCGACGCCGTGATCTCGTTTTTTGTGAGGAACCATTTCTTGGCGTCCAGCAGAGGCTGCCGGGCCTTGATGTCGGTTCCATTGGATGGGTCAGCAGGACTCTCTTGCTCGGAGTCATCTTCGAGGGACGACGTCGATGGGGAGAAGAACGCAGACACGGAAACTCGTGCGAACGCGAGCGCGATACAAAAGGTGACGCGACGCATGACGCGTCTTGAGGAATGAGCTTGAGGGGTGCGGGCGGACGGTGGCCAGCTGTCTTTTTGGATCAGGATCATGGAGATGGTGGAGACATGCACTGGTTTGCTGGATGATCATCCGGTTTCGCGAGGAAAGTCCATCGAATTGATGTTCTGTCCATCTGATGTATGGATCCATTGGGTACGCAAAGGCACTCACTGCCGCTACGATCAATTGTCGATCTTAAGCCCGCGAGCTCGACCCGTTATATCGAGAGCAAAAGTGCAGATCAAACCACGAGCGTCTGTGAAAGATGAAGTGGAATCGCACGAGCACGAGCGGAGCGCCAACCCATTAGTTCGCCTGACTCGTTTAGCTCGGACAGTTTCACGTCATATTAGGCTGAGGCCTCTTCTGATCCCGACCAGACCGCAAGACCACTGCGCGACATAGAAAGGCGCGCGAGCGGTAAAACGACGGAAAAAGCGATACCGGCGATGCTATTGTTGATGGCTGCAAAAGACTGCGAAGAGACCACCAGTGTAGGAGCATTTGTCCGTGCGACATGGATCGCCATGTGCATCGCATGAGCTCAACTGTTGCGGTGTTTACACATGGATTGGTTTAACTGCTCTCATTATTGTGTTGACAAACCATCAAGCGCAAGAATCGTGGAAGAATTATAGTATCCTGGATGTGCGAGTCGAATTCCATATCTTTTGCTGAGTTAGACGTTATCGTTGAAACGCAAGTCATTGTGAATGCGAGCATGTTCCAACGCATCGCCATTTGTTTTCATTCTCAAGGCTTATGTTACCTTCGCGGACGATGCAGAGAAGATCCTACGTTGGCAAATTGTGTGCCTGCATTAGCAATTGCAATAACTGATACTATTGTGCAAAAATTTTAATTATGGCAAAGACACCCCAAATCGTTGACCACAGAAGACTGTACAGTAGAACCCCTCTTAGCTAATTCCCTGTTAGCTACTAATTTCTTGTAGTCAATTCAAAGTTTCCGGCCCAACGTGGCATCCATGCACTCCTTAAAAGTGTACAATTGTATGTAGATCACGTGACAACCCAGCCCCTCCTACCTAATATCTTCTACTGCCTATTTTTTTCATCCGCCTGATTGTATCAACCAAGAGGGGCTCTCCTGTATACTGTTTCGCTTTCATAGGGATCTGTCGTCATCATTGGAGCAATTCATTCGACCCTGCACATAAATCTGGCTCGCAAAGGATGATGTGTAAACGAGGTCACCCATTTCCGCGATTGTGAAGCGAAATTAAATGTCCATGTGAACAATACTTCAGCGAACCATGCATACTGAGAATATCGATGTTGCTAAATTCACCAAGGTTGGCTTAACAAGCAGGGGAAATGAAAACATGCGCCAACTATTTTTCAGAATCTTAAATCTGCGCCAATTAGTTACAAAATAGAAAGTGCACCACTAGATGGAAAAAATAAAAGATGCGCCAGCGGTGTACACTATATGTTCGAACACATCCATGCTCAACTCAGAACAACCTGGAAAAATGACGTTAATATTGTATTTATACAGATGCTGTGGTGGAAATGACATAAAGAAAGCTTACGCGACGATTGCTGGATGTCGAATTGGCCGTCGGGTCTCCACCAAGCCTTTTCAAATTTGCCATAAGAACGGGCGCACGCAACATCGTTCTTGCAGAATACGTAACATTTACAGCGCGTGCACAACCTTTTTAGCAGTAGCAAGAAGGCCCACTTTTCATGCATATAAGCTAATGAATTGTCAGTATCTTAGCAGTTGTAGACTTTACAAACCAGTCTGTAACGACACACTTTTTAAAATGTAGATAACCGCACCCATAAGGCCTTTGAAGATGCTGTCGATGACAAGTGTGCAACTGTGTTCCTATATGTTTCGATCAAGAGATTTTCCTGCATGCCGAAAACCTCTTTTGTCCTGTTGCTGATGCTAGTAACGCTTATGTCCGCATGATGGTAGTTTCGGTAATCAAAAAGTTATTAACATCCATCTCAGCACCTGCAATGGCACGACCATGTATTTGTTAGTTCTCCGTAGAAGATATCTTCTCTTGTTGCTTGTCGAAACGTCATCTCAAGAGTGCTTGGGTCGTACCGTTATTGTTTAACTCAGCGCAACGTACGCGCCATTCAAATACGGTGCAGTCTTATCTTGATATTGTATCACATTACCATCAGTTAGACGTGTGCACAATAATCCATTCACACCATTGTTGATAGACGAAAGGCATAGTGCAACGTCGCCGACATGTAAAACGACACGAGCACCTCAAGACTGCTTTGAAGCGTCGACGCACCATCTCCTTCTTGCGATTCGAGTGGTGACTGAACAAGGTAACATGGTTTGTGATACTAGAACGTGTGGGAATGAGAGAAATCCGTACATGGGTGTACATTATTTCACGTGGAGTGCAGTCGGTCGTATAGTATACACCACCGACGCAGCCTTCTAGTTTCACGATAAGTTTGCGCATTTTCATTATCTTGGTGTTGTGGCGCATATTTTTCGCGATTGTTTTGCAACTTACTTCATTTTCATAATTATATAGCGTGTTCGTTATTGTAATTGTAAAGGAATATATAAACCAATATTAGAAGACGCAGCAAAAAACATACAGCTCGAACACTGGTACCTACGGATGACTTTTATCATATTTTTCAACCCACTATAGAAAAAAGTGTCACAAAGTAAATCAAATGTATACACTTTCTAAAGACTGCATTGAAATCTTGCTGATGAAATCATGTACAATCATTGATATTTACCATAGTAAATACAAAGTGTCATCAAAAAATCTAGATGGAGCATTCCTAGGTAATTTTTGGCGACAGGTTTTTCATCATGGTCCATTGGTCAATTTGTTTACACCGTCAAATTCATAAAAAGAAAACACACATGCCACATGATATATAAACACCACGACGCTGTTATTTGTATGCTGAATTTGCGTTCTGAGATGGTCGTGTTATATACGTGGCGCCATAAATAGATTGTAGAAATTCTTACCACATATTCAGATGAACAAAGGACGGAGGCATCTAGTAAGTCTGCACAGCGATTAAATGAGAGGAATTGATATGGCTCAGCGTCCCGATTCGTTCGTTTACAGCTAGGACTCTAGCAGGTGTTGTAAAGCTGATACTGTCATAAATATATTATCTATAGGTCCATAGCATATTTACACTCAAAAAGAAAAGATCTATTTATATCTTGATTATTATTTATAACAAATAAAACACTTACGAAGATTCAAAGATTTGCAAATTCAAACAATTTACTAAGTATGCACAAGTTTAGCTATTATCGAAATCATACAGTGTATAACGTGTAACGGGGCAGCCCGTTACATGAAATTGTCACTTTAAGGAAAGTGACAATAAAGAATATGAAGTTGAATATTCTTTAAACAATATCACCAAAGTGGTGATATTGAAGGGTCGACCAAAGAGTCTGTTCATTGGTTGATATCTTTGTGATTTCAACCCACCAATCGCCGCAAGACGCGCGCAATGAGTGGTGACGAGACGTCACCATACACCCAGTTATATTAGTATAGTTAAACTAAGTCAAACAGAGAGACAGTAGTTAAAAGACTTAATTTTATTAATATAACAGTTCTGCTTTTACCCTACCTACGCTTCCTCGCTTGCCACGTGTACGTCTGTCGGGGCACCGAAACCCTTGCGTTAAGTTCACGCAAGGGTGTGCCCCGTTACACCTGGTAGCACTCCGTAGTCCTTCCAAGGACCACAACATCCAACATGAACATGTTGGATGAAGAAGAAACCTTTCACGCCACGCGTGAAGGGTTTACCCATTTGAGTGACATCGAATGGGGTGCGGTAGAACGAATGAGTTCTACCGTAGGCGAACTCGCCGTTAGCGCCATGTTGGAGTCTCTAGACAGAGACCAACAACATGCCGCTATCGCCAAGTTCATTCAAAATGAACTTGCCATCGAGAGGGAGAAAGTAGCCTTGCTTCACCAGCAAGGCTCTCAACAGGCCGAGCAGTTGAGAGAACTCGGTGCTCAACAGACGGAGCTGTTGAGACAGCAGCAATTCCATGCTGCTGTGGGCGGGACGGCGCATGCGCGTCGTCCCGAAGTCATGAAAGTTGACATCTCCAAGTACAGTGGAGTCCCGGAGGACTCCCTGTTACTATGGTTTGTCGAACTCGACAGAGCCCTAAGGGCTTGTCGCGTCGAAGATGAGCAAATGAAACTCACATTTGCTCAGACCCAGTTGGCAGGGCGTGCCAAAACTTGGTCCCTGGGACTCGAGAGTAGCGACCCAAACGTGTTTAGGTCGCTAGATGACTTCAAGTCCCGGCTCAGACAAACGTTTGAGCCGCCACGGGCCGAGTTCAGGGCTCGTTCAGAGCTCCTGAAACTCAAGCAGGGTAAGCGTGATGTGCACGCTTACGCACAACATATACGACTCCTTGCGAGTAGTATAACCGCTAACCCAGTACATGAACACACGTTGAATACGGTGTTTATGCAAGGGCTCGCAGAGGGGCCCGTCAAGAGCCACCTGTTCCGCCTTGATCTGAATACGCTGTAAGATGCGATATCAGCCGCGGAACAGGAAGACTTTAGCATGAGACAGGCTCATGCTAGCGCGAGTTCTTATCGTCCACCGAGACGACAAGAGATCGGAGGTCCAGAACCAATGGACCTCTGCTATGTTGAGAGCGAGAGGCCTCGCTCTTCGAACAACAAGCGATTGCAGAGGTGCAATCGCTGTCAGAAGTTAGGGCACTACGCATACGAGTGTAGTGCTCCACGCCCAGTACCAAACAGTACTGAGCGAATTGGACGACCAATTGCCAGAAAGGGCAATGGGCGTGGGTCCAGCGCAGTTGCGAAGCCGCAACAGCGAGACAGACCATCAAAAAATGGTCGGGGTCAGTAGGGGCGGAGCGCCCTACTGATCCAGCAACCTCAAGAAAATTTGCAAATCTCTTGATGAAAGTTGCTCCAGAT